GTGGCTGACTAAATACTTTTTTGCCCCACTGTATAGGCTGGGGAAGAACTGTGTGGTGCAGGTTGTTTTTTGTCCTGTGATTCTACACTATCTTTCTAGGTGTCGGAAAGGTCCAATTACATGTTTGGTCTGCCTGTGGCGTTAAATTGAGTGAGTAGACGGGCCCGTGGGTAAGTGTCTCCCCGTGGTGAGGAGTGAAGTGGGAAGTGCCTCGTTTATTTGTTTGGGACTTTCGTCCCATTAGGTTACATAAAGGACAGCCTAGATTAATATGAATTATGGCTGATAATGAATTCCACCTTCATACCAACAGTATATGGCATAATATAAATACAGCATAAACAGTGTACTGTCAGTATAGAGGATGAAAATCAGTCAGGACAACTCATGAAACATTGACATACATCTGTTTAAATTTAGTTGTGTAAATCCACAAAAAGCAGTAAACCTCAGAGCAGCAGTTAAAACTGGAGCTCTCAATAGAAATTATTCTGTTGATGAATTTTTTCCCCCCACACTGAGCCACTCCTTCTTAGGGTTCCCCCACCCTCTGAATCCGACTTTAACCCCTGAATGTGCTCATTTTCCTGATTAGAGGTAAACCCACCGGTTACAATGTGATCAACTGAAAATTTAGTTATTTTTAATTTTCCTTCTTTTTCTCTGCTCATGTTCTACTGAACTGATACTGGCAGAGATAATTTATTTCAGTCTAATACCAAGACTGAAATAAAGTTTGTATTGCTATTTACCAATATAATGTTATTATTACATTAATATAGCACATTGTTCATTTAGCTTTGCATAAAAATAGGTAGCAAAAAGGTTCTTCTAGGAGTTCATTTTACATTCTTACTTTGAGTATATTTCAGAGCCGGTACTTTTTGACTTTCACTTTTACTTCCAAACAAGCTGAATTGGCATTTCAACTTTTACTCAAGTATGTTTTAGCACAAGTATCGCTACGTCTACATAAGCAAAGACTCTCTGTGCTTTTGACACCTCTGCAAATTAGTGTATCATAGAAACATTTTTCTTACCACTCAAACATGCCCAGTGTGCTCACAAGCATTATGATTCCCACAGTCTTCACTATAGTGTAGATACCATCCAGTGTTTCAGCTGTAATGCAACAGGATTGTAGAGCAAAGAAAAACTGTAATTGACAGAATAACTGATTAACAGTAAATAAAAGTTTTTAAAGTGAATCAAAATCATAATTTTGAAACAAGGCTGAAAAAACCCATGAAGAAGGATCTTTAAAGTTCATTAAACTAAATTCAGTCTCACTTAAACACATTTCCTTATATGTACACTTGGGTTTTAAGGGGTATTTATTATTTTCTTCTTTTTTTGGGTTGTATGGAAGCCCCAAACGCAATTTCATTGTTCTTGACAATGACAATAAATAAATACTACTTTACCTTCTTCCGTGGCATGTGAGAGTTGCAAGTACTTGGGGAGGGGGGGGGGGGGAAGGGAAGGGAAGAAATATAGTAACCTTGATGCATTGACTCATTAAAGAAAAAAACTAAGCTAAATGTTATCTGTGACTGCTTTTAACTTCACAGTAAGTGAGAGTTAGATGAATCACTCTGATGTCTGATTACCCAGATCATTAGTGGCCACACAGTAATAAACTCCTCCATCTGTTACATTGAAGCTGTAAATCTCTCCTTCAGATACTTTCACAGCTCCATCTCTGCTCTTCTTGAACCAGGTGAAGTCTGCTGACTGGAGGTTTGGCTCTGCTGGAGCAGGTCAGCTTCACCCAGCTGCCTGCTGACACCAAACCTGATGGACTGATGGATGCTGAGGTGTCTTTAGGACATCTGGAGAAAAAAAAAATACAACAGATACAAC